TTAGTTTTCTCAATGTACTGGGGTAATGTTACATTTTGCCCTGTGTGGGTGCTGCAAATGCATCAATTGTTCAGAGTTTGCATGTTTGATAAATTCAACATGACTGCTACATTTATGTATGTGAATAAACTGAATTCAGCTTCATCGCTAAAAAAACTCATTCGTTTGACAAACATTCCACAAAACTGTCTAAAATAAATGTGTATAGTGCCAGAACTTGTAAAAGATAAAATTAAAAATATCACAAAATATGATGCAAATATGACGATACCTGCCACCGTTTCTTATGTTTTGACGTCTGTGCTTCTGTGCGTCCATGCGTGCGTCCGGACCTGTATCTTAGAATTGCCTGGACCAATCACAATCAAACTTCACACATACATCATACATGATGTTTCACGATCTGATTCAAGATTGCCAAATGGCACCCTTTTTGCATTTCTTGGCTGTTTACAGATGGATTTTGTTCAAACTTTGTATATATATATTGAACATTATGGGACCTGGATGCAAATCATTTTGTTTTTCAGATAAGATTCAAAATGGCCGAATGGCGGCCATTTTGTTTTAATGAATGTGGTTCTAGTGCCATATCTCTGACTTGCTTTGACTGATTATGTTCAAATTTTAAATATTCATTATACATCATGTCATAGATATACAGATATATTGGTTTGACGGTCCTATTCAAAATGGCTGAATTGTGACTAATTTTGTGCTAAAAAATCATCAAATATCTTGAGCATTTCTGGGATTTATGGATATATTTCGTACAAACTTATAACATACATTATACATTATGGGTTCCTGATGCATGTCATTTTATTTTAAATTTCAGATCGGATTGAAAATGGCTGACTGGCGGCCATTTTGTTTTTATGAATGTGGTTCTAGTGCCATATCTCTGACATGCTTTGACTGATTATGTTCAAATTTCACATATTCATTATACATTATGTTACAGATATATACATGTATTCAAAATGGCTGATTTTGTTTTGATTAATGCTGTTCCAGAGCAATATCTTTCAATATGGACAAGTACTCATTTGACGATCAGATACAAATGTCAATCATTTTAATGTTAAACAATCATCATAATCATATTCCGGACATGGTTATATTCCAGCTATATTACTATAAACAAAATTATACCTTAAATTTAATAACTAACAAGGACTGTGCCATGCATGGCTTGTTCAGTATATATTGTTCTCATAGTAGGGACATAAATATGTAGAGATGGGTAAACAGTTGTGTTACTATAAAATGGTAATGCCTATTTCTGAAAGAAATAGCAAACAAAATTACAAGCATTCTGGTGCCAGAGTGTGATGATGCTAATTTTTGTTAGTAAGCTGTGAGAAAAAACAGATTTGACAGGTCAATATAATAAAAAATAAGCAAATATATGAAAATGTAAATTATTGTGAATTACATAGTATTTGGGTATAAACATTCAGTGTGAAATGATACCGTGGGTCATGTTTCCTCATATATCCCATATGTCCTGTGCATTCTGATAAACAGGAAGTGTGATCTTAACAAGGAATTCTGAAATCACGAATTTGACCAATTCTTGTCCAAGGGCTCCCATTTTGCAAAGTTAGTAGCTGAACTGGACTAGGTACCGGTACTAGAAATTAATACATGTACCGATAAACCCAATAGACCACCACCTTTCCAATCATCACCTGTATATGCCAGCCATAGTTGTACATGTATACTCCTTGGGAGTTGACATGGGTAATAAGTGTGATTTAGTACAATGTATATGACCAATTCCATGATAACCTGATGGATATCAGGTGCTCTGTAAACTATGGATTAATATATAGTAAAGATGCTAGTGTAATGCCCAAACCCAATGAATGTGCATGGTACTTTGTACCTTCGTAAATACATGTACATCATTTTTTTTTATTTTCTTTGTTTATAGACTCTGATTGGAAATTGTTACTTATCCGTCAACGTACTCATGTAGGTTGTTTACCGGATGGCAGTGATGTATATAGTATCAACAAAATAGCTGTTTTACCACTGACATTGAATGAACCGACAGACTTAGAAATTGAGGTGAGTTCTGAGAATTTATCTTGAAAGAAATGTGGAGAAATCTGTTTTAACACATCACCTGCTAAAAATCTCATGAACCAAAATGATTGGTATATAACAGCGTCAGCAGATAATGTGTTATTAGACCGATGGAAATTGCAGGTAAAATGATATGGAAAATGAATTTAAATATGAAATATGCAAAATATTAGTTACGAGAGGTGCTATAACTTGTGTGGATGTTATACATGCTTTGAGTTGTCCCATCACTTGTCTTGTTTTGAATACTCTCTGGTGCATTGACATCGTCTTATGTTATTGTAGTTGTATAGTACTGAGTAGTAGTCAACTTTATAACCAGTTAAGAGTATTTGTAATGCATTGCCGTGACTTTTGCACTACTGAGCGAGTCATTGCACATATGCGATACATTATGGAAGAGAACTTCCTAATTTATACATGTATAATGGAAATCTATTATCTTACAGGTAACTGACTAAATTATGTCAATTTTTTTTTAATGTTTTAACAATATTAGGATTTGAAACATAGAAACCAGTTCCAATTTTGATTTTTTGTGACATTTAAAACCTTAGTATCTCAAAAAGCATCTGATGACCCCAATTTTTGTTCTTGCATTCTAAATAGCATGAACCTATACTACTAATATTACAATTCGACTTAAACCTCATCACTGTGCCAGCAGATTCTATCAGTAATATTCACATACATGTATGTACTCGTGTATAGTGATTGAAATAAACCACTCCCCGTTATTGAATGAAATTTCAGTGTTTGGTTCACATTACATGTAAGTACATCCACCATCTTCAATTTTAAAATAAGGCCGCCTCAAAACCGTGTTTTCAAATTTTTTATGATAGAGAAACAGATTGTATTTTTTTCTTGCTTTGATAGAATCAAAACGAATAGAATAAGGCATAGTTAGTATTTGCCAATATGAACTAAGTGGCCATGGCCAGTGTAAAATGTACATTGAAGGTTACCTAGCTAGCTCAATGCCTTGCTTCATCCTGCCTGTCAAGGTCGTTCTTAGTGGTTGCTCTTCCTGGACATCTACATTGTGACTATAAGTATGTCAATTCACCGTTCTCATAAATTTTCTTTGTAGATGTAATCAATTTTAAAAAGCAATCTGCTATAAGATCTTAGTTAATTCAAAATGCTATTATCAATGATTCCTATAATATGTCACATGTGACCTTTGTTACCATAGAAATAATTACCAACACCTAATGTGCTTAATACTTAGCAATCAAGGTAGTGGTTAAAATGTGCAGTAAAAGCTGTATAAATTTAATGAGAAAGCTGTGAATGCTGAACTGAGGCTGTCAGAGAGCAAGTGCTCTTGTTAGTGCTTCAATCAGCTTAAAACTTTTGCATGACTGAATTTGAATATTAAATACAAATTTCACCATTTGATTACATCTGGACTTTTACTTTCAGTGAAGAAATAACATACTGAAGGTGATGTCTCTTCTAGGGTTGAAATTGAGAATTTTCCACCTTTGAGATGGGCAGATTTTAGCTGGGCCTGGGACAGGTACAATGTACATGAAAATGTAGAAACTGCCTGCCAGGTAAATAAAATATAAATAAACAATACATGTATTTACTAACTGGCCAGACAGGATAAAAAAATTGCGTCCAGAGTTTTTAAAATCTAAGTAGTAATTATTACCTTAAGAATGAGTTTTATTTTAAATGATTTGTCCAATTTATCTTTCGAAAGACAAGAACATCATTGATTGGGACAATCGCTCTTATTCACCAACCTGTCCAATGGACAGGCAACTCTTATATTGTTTCTGTAATGTTATTTTATTTACTGTATAGTTCCTATATGTTCAGGGATGGTGAGTGTATTTACATACTCACATAGTGATGATTATGAGACTGTGTTCAGATCTTGTTCAACTGATACGTCAACTGACCCAAATAGAATCAAACAGAAGACAAACATGAGACTTGACTAGTCATCTGTACATATTGATTAGGTTCTTTGCATAACTAATTTCAACCTTTTTCTTCTTTATCATAATTTCAATAGCCTTCTCTAATAAAATAAATCATAATAGAATGTATTGAATACTGTTGTTTTAAATGTATTATAGATGCAGTTATCACATAGCTAATTTGCATATTAATTAGCTGAATATTGCCATGATCTGAATGTTACCAAATATACATATATCTGCAAAACTGTTCATCAGACATTCCCTCTAAATACTCAAAAATGAACCCTAACAACTGACATTCCCTGGGTGAAAGCCCTGCTCATGTATGTATGATAGTTTTGCATTGTGTAATGTTTCATAAAATTAATGGATTATATTAACAAGTTTTTGGCTGAATTCATTAAAGGGTTTATCTCACTTTCTCCTTGCTTTCATTATTATTTGGTAATGTCATTTGAATACCAGAAATAAAATAGGGGTCTTCAGAAAATTTGTTGAGAAACGTGCCTGTTCAATGTAATAGGAAAATGATCAAATTTTTCATTTCTGCATTGGTTTTTTATGGTAACATTGTTTCTTCATACATTTGTATGTCTAAATTTCGACTACTAACATGAAATGAAAAAGTCAATCATACATGTATATTATTATTGATGTGAGTTCTAATATTATAACATTTCAAGCAATTCACATTTTATTTATTGAGTTTCCAGGGTAATAATAATTTTCTAATTATATCCTTGGAATGTTCTCTCCCATAATGTACATACATGTATGACCCAGAAGTAACTCAACATTTGAATTTGGCTCAAAGTGCTATAAGTATGGAAAAAAAATATTTGCTTTTGAAGTCTGGGATTCCTCTGTTGCTTGCCTAGAATAGCAGGTGACTTTTCAGGTTCTTACTCAATTTATATAACTTTAATGACTTGCTCTGTCAATAGAAAGAAAATACTTAGATGATTATAGTGCAGTGTTAGACTGTACGTAAGTCTCTTGTAGTGAACCAGAAAATTAGCTTAGCCTTCATACCTTTGCATTTTTTTGTAGTAAAATACATGGTACTGTGATTTGGCTAATTTTATTTCATTTTCTGCATCAATACATGTATTCCATTAATTGCTTCGGGGAACAAAAATAGCGAAATAATACTGTTTGACTTGCAAAAAAACACTCAAAATTTACTATTGAATGCTACATTCTAGTCACTCCGTGCAATGGGAACACTAACTGATTACTAACTGACAGCAGCTTAAACTCTGACCAATCCTGACAGGGATAGATCAGTTGATGTATGGTCTCCTGTAAGACGAATTTAAATTGCTCTTTGCAATTTAGTATATGGCAAGAGATTCAGTTAGTGCAACTTTTGAACATGAATAAGCCATTACTTTATACACTCCATTTTGATGACGTCATGGCATATACTATGTCAATTTACATATGAATCTTTTAAACCACTCAAACTAGCTCAATTTGATTTTTAGCATATACTACATGTATGTAAATGTATAACTATACTTCTAATAACATTTCTCTATGGTTCAAGGTGATTTTTCTGGAGTTTATAAAAATGTTACAATACAATGGAATAGTTTCTAATCTTTTTGAAATTGAAAATGCCCATGGTATACTTGCTGAATGAACACCATTTGTGTAATTATCTCTTCAAAAAAGAAAGATTTATTTTAGAATGGATTTATGTTATGTTATGATACCCTTGTACCATGTACGGCCATTTCAGAACTGGAATGTTCCGGTGGTGAACAAATAAAACATTATTGCTGAGTCATATTTCATTGATTTTTCATATTGACAGTCAGTCCAGCTGATTCCTATAATGTCATTCTATCACTCTTTGGTTTATACATGTAGTACTGGGTGATCTCTAAAGAGATCAAGACATGTTTCTTTTAGATCATTGAAATATGACCATAGACCCATCTCCATCATTTACGTAAGCGCCTACATGCATGTTACTTATAGAGCTGAAGATATATGTATGTTCTTTTGATTCTATGTACAGTGATAATATGTAATTTTTATTTTAGGCCATAACTATTAAATGTGCATGTTTTTAGGTCATAACTACTAATGTGAATTTACTACAGTTGTAATATTAGATTCAGAATCAGGCTGTTGCATTTTGTATGTGGTATGATATTTTGCTCATACATGTATGTTCTGTTTCAAATACAATTTTAGTGGAACATGTACATTTTATGGATTAACATTTTGATATTGTGCTGAATACAAATGTATATGTACATTTTACACTCAATCTGTCTCCCAATCCTGGTATAAAGTGTCTCCATTTATCCTGGTGCTTATGTTAAAATATTCCCTCAATTCTTCCTGCAATGAAGTATGATGAACAGAACCTGAAACATGACATACACATGTACATTATATTTTTACAAAATCACATTTTTGTTTATAGATAAAACATAGCATTACATCTAGCTACATGGTTTTGTGGCTTTATTGTTTTGTTTCTGAATGTACATACCACATTAATGATTTATTTATTTCCATTTACACAGTAATGTAAGTTTCCCCTGGGTTTGTGTTCATTTATCTATGTCAGGTGGGAGCTTAGACTATGAACATGTACATAATAATGTACTACAATAATGAGGCTACTGGACTAAAAGACAGTGTGCTATATTGAATAGAACTGATTTTGTGTAATTCTGTAGTGAAAATCCTAAAAATGTTATTGGAAGTCTGGATCTTTGTATACATGTACATGTATGTAGCTGCATGCAGTCACAACAAGTACTCAATGTCTTAGCACATTACAATGGTGTTCATTGAGAATTTTCGCCAAACTATATGGTTAGAAGTCCCTGTGAGAAAGTATGGCATCAATCAGTAAAATATTTATCGATGGCTGAAAGAAGAAAAAAAAAATGACAACCTAAGACCTCAGGAAAACATGTTAGGTTAATTCTTCTCCACAATGCACTTGCATTGTTTAAATACATAAAAATGTACACCCACACTTCTGGATCGCTGTTAGTGATGGAATTTGACATTAAA